CTGTTCTCTGTGTTTTTATGTGTGGGCTGTGAAGCCATTTATGGTGTATGGTATGTGGTCGTATATGTAACTCGCTATATGCTGACGGTTACAGCGGTTCGAGAAACAAAGCACAATAGAGCTCGGCCGCATTGCCGCATGCTAGCACGTTGCCATGCACAACGTCTCGCTGCATGGTCTAGCTGTCTGGTGCTAGTTAAAAAGGTGTCTGTTTGTCATTGAGCGTGATAACTATATTCAGCTTGTGAGGAGCCGAGAGTGTGAGCTTGTCAAGTGCTCGCGATATCGCATTTTATGCTTCGGTGACTCTTGCAGCTTTTTTATTTCCTTGATCGGCGAGATTTCGGTTTAAGCAGTTTTGTCTATCTCTTAGTCATGACTTATTAGATCCGATTTTAGAAATACCCACAGCGAGCAAAGGTTTGTGTACAGCATGCGAGATGTTAATGTCCATGCTTCAGGAGTTAACTGAAACGTGTCACTCAATTCGTACCCCTGATACCTACTAGATTGTGCAACTGCGTTTTTGCCACTCTAAGTGTGACAGCAACAAGTGCCTGTTTGACATGCCATTAGGATAGCTGCTGCTCTTTATTTGGCACGCGGTTTCCATACAGAGCCGCGGACGGGAGGTGACCTCACCTCTCTCATGACGTCACTTCTGGCCCAGTTTTGGCCTCGGTCAGACGGGTGTTTTTCGGTGTTATTTCGCAGTAGCACGTCCGCAATGCTTCGTCCGTGCGTCCCCTACCCAGCAGGCGGATTTTTTTTTTTTTTTTGGTTTGCTTGACAAGCCACCTACCTATAAGAATGCTATGTACAGAAACGACTCAATGGGACTGTTCAAGCACATGCCATCTTTGCCGTGTATGGTTTTACAGTAATGGAGTTATTTGTGCATGCCATCACTGAAATCACCGTATTTAAAGTATACGTCAGAGAAGGTCACCTATATTCTGCGATGGCATTAGCTTAAGTATTCAGCCAAATTAATGGACTGATATAATAAGTTAACTGTAGATTTATAACTGCTTAGTTTTAACTGACATATTATTCACCAAGTCATCTGCACAAGGCTATTATAGACGACCTAAAATATGCATAGCATGCTCGTCTAGATAGATAATTAGCCTTAGAATTAAAAACACTAGCGACCTCGTTTAAAGGAACATAATCACCATTTCAAAATGCACCTAACAGGCCTTCATTTTATGCTAATTTTACCAACAGGGATGCTTCTGTGGATCAGCGATTGCTCTGCAGTTGTGGATCGCCTAGGCCCGTTATGCAAACTCAGCGACAAGTGAAGATAAGATTGATTGCCGACGTCAAAGCACGGGCCTCTTCGTTAACGGATGATTTACATTTTATCGGGAGTATAGATGGGGAGGTTGAGAGTCTAAGCATTGCTCAGCTGTGCGCCATTTCGGTGACATTCCAGCCCGGATCAGTGGAGCACGCCCCCCCCCCCCCCCCGCTAATGCGCCTCCAGGGTAGCCGGGGGGGGAGGGGCGCAGGGCGCGGCGTGCAACTCAGCGGCCGAAGGCGGGGGGAGGGGGAGGGGGAGGCAGATCGGAGGAGCTGATACGGGGACAATGGTGACGGTGGCCAGTCGGCGGTCTCAGCGGCCGCTCAGTCGCTGACGGGCTGTGCTAACGGCGGGTCACCCCTCCCTCCCTCCCTCCCTTCTCTCCCCCGGCCGAATTGGACACAGTGCAAGGTAAGTGACCGACGACCGTGAGCAGAGCAGTCCTCACCGCAATGAGCGAAATGGTTCCGCTTCTGTGCAAATGCGATAAAAACACACACAATAACTATGAGACTATTCTGATAATACAAATCTAGGATAGCATTAACATATGAATGCCTTTCAAGGGCGTCAATCCACCTAATTGGATGCTACTTTTAGCTGCAAAGGTGTTTTTCCAAATCCCTAGCATAGTAAGCAATAATATAATTGTCTTGAAATGTGTATAGGTTCATATCTTAAGTTTTTTTTTTCTAGATGTGTTGAATTTTGCAGGAATCTTCATACCTATCGATTATTTCGTTTGTTTCATTACATACTCTCAATCTGCCAGGAATGTGCCCTCCTTTCTGGTTCCACGCAAATAAAAGTGAAAGATGGCAATCAAATATCCATCAGAAATTATTTGAAGCTTGCGTTCAACTTTTGAGTCAGGCATAAAAAAGGTGATCAGACATCACCAAGAACCTTCCTTCCCTTTTAACATTTTCTTAGGAGAGCGCATGCAGTTAAAGAAGAAGCATTGTCAAATTAAACGATGTTTTTTCATAGAAATATACAGGTAAAAAGTCATTTATTTACTTCCTTTTTTTTTGCTTCCATTGAAGGCAGGCAATTTTTCAAAAGTTAATAATAAGGTGTCAACACTGTAAATGTACGGAAAGGAATGCACTGCTACAAAGACGCAAAGACACGCCAGAAAGACGGTTGTGCATTACCCGGATATACATAGCGAGCGTGAGTGCGTTATCAGAGCGTCAGTGTCCCCGCGATGCTATCGACCGGAATATGTCCGTTGGTGCACTGTGTGGGTGCATGCACGTGCAATCACGATTGTGCATTAGCTGTTTCTGGTCTCTGGATTTTGATTTTGTGGCCCTTATCATGTTTTGCATCTACACGTATGCTTATCCACAAATTTCAGACACCCATGCCTACAGCATACCCCCTAACTATTAATTTTTGTTTTCCGTTAGGTATATGTCGACTTATACGCCTGTTCTGAACAGGTAGCATTTGTTAGCCCTGTTCCTGCTTTGTAACTTAAAACTACTATGCACATGACTTTGAAGACTCATTTTTTGTATCTAAATGGTCGTGACCAGTACTCAAATACGTTCAATGCTGTTCAATTATTCATAGCTCACCATAAGTTAGCTGTTTAAAAAACACATCAAATATAAGTTTACCCAAGTGCATTGAAACAAACAAATGCACTGTCCCCATAAAAGCAAGTTAGCACTTAGTAGGAAGTCCTCATGCATGTCAATACATGAGCATTGAGCATTGCGCAATGACTGCAATGTGCATTGTGTAGTGTGCAAAAGTTTAATGCTTGACTAGCGGTCCCTTTTAGTCCGTTTCGTACCTCCATATTTTCCCTATCCGGCAAGGATATCCGCAGGTTTCGAAGACACATTTTACTCAGGTTATAATCGTGATCGCCGAATCTTTTTGCTAGAATTCGTGTTTAAAGCATTTATGCATTATGCAATGCTCGCTCCCGAGCGCTCACATTCCCACTGTCATGGCCAAGATTTCGTCGTTTAGACCGTCACGCATTTCTCGATCAGATATGTTTGCTGATGTGATTGGACAGTTTGGACGGACTATGAAATCATTAGGTACAGCCTGTCTTAAAAGTACCGCGCAAAGTGACGGTGGTTCCATCAAGCCTGACCGAGGAAGGGCCTGCTATAATTTGAAAGTCACCGAACCAATTGACCTGGGGAATGGACGGGGATGTCAATTGCTTCGGTGACTCAGGCCCTTCCTCGGTCAGGCTTGATGGATCCACCGTTACTTTGCGCGGTATTTTTAACCTTCGCCCCAGTGGGGGGGGGGGGCATATGTTACCACCCTGTAGCGTTTTTCGCGTGTGAGTAAAAAACCGCGGAGCGTAGCGCCGCGCCGCTTGGGTTAGCTTTTGGTACATCGATTTTGGACAATGTGTGAAATTTTTGACCCCAGGTCATGTCAGGTCAGGTCACCAGGTCAAGTTAACTGACCAAGCCTAAAAAAGTTTGCAATCATGTCCAGCCTGCAGTGTTTGTCAGAAAGGTTTAAAACTTGGTGGATTGCATGATGTTATAGGCGCCTACAATTTGTATATCTCGGATTTTTTTATATCCGTGACCTAAGGTCAGGTCAGTGGCGTGACATTACCATTATAAGTCAATGGAGAAAAATGAAAATGCCTCTAGATCCGTGTGTACGCATAGGAACAGTCCAAATATTTCAGAATCACAATGATTTGGACCACCCGTGACGATCAAGGTGTCGTTTTTGCTGATAGCCTCTAGAAAGGTCATCCGAGGTCATTTGAGGCTACAAACAGATTTTTGCCAATAACTCTCGATTGGAAAGAGATAGAACGCTGGGGATGGTCTCATTGTGTTTGTCTTGCCGAGACGCATCGACTGATATGCAACATGACCTTTTCCGGTCAGGTCATGACCTTGAACTGAGGTCAAATTTTCAAGTTGACCTTGCAAGGTCAAATTATAGTTCATTCGATGCGTCTCGGCGAGAGGAACACGATTCTGGCAATAGAAATGTCGTGGCTTTTTTTAGTCAAAAGTTATTGTCGAAAAACACTTTTCGTAAAAACAGCTATTTTTGGAGTTTTTGCCCTCTGGAGGCTAAACCGTTGACCTGAGGTCAATTTTGATGATGACCTTATCGAAAGAAGAGTTCAAGAGCTATCGATTGCTTTCCCATGCGTTTTTCTAGCTATCATAGTTTCTGAGATAAATGCATGTTTTCGGAAAAATATAATGACATTTGGCAAATTTTGACCTTTGATGACCTCCAGTGACCCCAATATTGCTCTAAGATGAAAAATGACAAAAAATACTTTCAAAAGTACGCATTGAGAGCTATCGACTGCTTTTTACCGCGTCTTTCTAGCCCTCTTAGTTTTTGAGTTAGAGGTCGGTGGTAACATATGCCCCCCCCCCCCCACTAGGGCGAAGTTGGCTGAGACCGCCACTGGGGCGCGGGTTAAGACAGCCTGTTGTACATGCAAACCTATATGGTGCAGTGAAGATAGAGGTCAACATAAAGGTTTATGTGCGTTTTACAAATTCATCTCAGTCTCATAAATACACAAACTCACGTATTTTCTAGCACAGGTTTATTTGCCTATAGGTCCACATTGCAGCTAGTTCAATCTGCACACAGCCACTTCTCATGTAGCGACAGTCTGTCCTGTATGTCCTCAACTCACTCCCCGTGTCCACTGTGTCCACAGATGACGATCACGGAAGGCCTGGTGCCACTACTGCTACTGCTCGTCTCCCCTCTGGTTGACGCCGAGTTCCCAGGAACAATTTTCCCCAGTGGAGCGGGCGGACAGTTCGGCGCCCGTCTCATACCGCGCAGCTTCAGCATGCATAACTCCTACCCAGCTGTGCCCTACGGGGCTCGGTTTGGCCGGCTGGTAGGAACATACGGAGCAGGTGGAGCCTATAATGTCAACGGAGGCTTTAACATCAACGGAGGTTACAACAGCAACGGAGGTTACAACGTCGGAGGAGGATATAACAACATCGGCGGCGGCTACAGCGCCGGCAGCGGCTTCGGCAACTACCTGGGGTCGGGCGGAACAGTGGCCAGCAGCGAATACTCGGTTAACACAGCCAACAGCGCTCTACGGGCCAAAAACGTGCACGCCTCGGCGCCGACCGGCAACTACGAGAACAACCACCTGAGTGACGACTACGGGTCCGACGACTCGAACTTCCAGTACCGGTATATGGTATCTGACCCGCTGACCGGTGACGCCAAGTCGCAGCACGAGACTCGCCGCGGCGACGCGGTCACGGGCGAGTATCGGGTGCTCGAGGCCAACGGTCTGATGCGCGTCGTCTCGTACACGGCCGACGACGCGCACGGGTTCGTGGCGCACGTGCGCTGGGAGCCGGCTGAGCGGCCGCACGGCCCGGCCGTGTCGCACCAGGAGGTGTCGCAGCAGCACTCCCACTGAAGGACGGCAGGGCCGGGTCTCGGACAGCGGACAGCGGCGGCGGCCGGGCTCATCCCACCCCAGGGAATCGCAGACTCGGTGCGAATAAAACTAATAGTTGATAGTTTGCAATCAGCAAGTATCTGTTATATTCTCGGAAATATTCAATTATAATGTGGACTGAATAAAAGACACATTGCCAATAGTGAAAAGTTGTGTTATACCAGTGCATGAAGATAAAACAAAGCGCAGTACGCCAAAGACGTGCACCTTGTGGTCATGGCCGTTATGACGGGGATGCTACCCGATCGTTGGTGAAGCTTATTAGCACCACTTGCTTATCATTATGCAGATACGGTGATCCGCTTCACATAAGTCAAACATTTGTTTTTCTTACATGCATACAAATAGCAGCGTCTTTCTGTTGCGACCAGCAACGTTGTGATGCTACCGTATCGCTACCGACTCCGCTCCATTGTGCTCCATGTAAACTACGCCTGTCGATAAATTGTAGGTATTAATTTTTATCAGTATTATTATTTTTACGGCAACCACCAATCATTATGTCGTCTAAAAACACTTCACTTGACCTATGCAATCCGTCTTTCGTCGATCGTCAAAGATGGAACGACTTTGCGATGTCAGCACTACAGGCCTTTAACCCGCTCCCCAGTGCAGTGGCGGTCTCAGCCAACTTTGCCCTAGTGGGGGGGGGGGGGGGGGGCATATGTTACCACCCACCTCTAACCCAAAAACTAAGAGGGCTAGAAAGACGCGGTAAAAAGCAGTCGATAGCTCTCAATGCGTACGTTTGAAAGTATTTCAGTCATTTTTCATCTTAGAGCAATATTGGGGTCACCAGAGGTCATCAAAGGTCAAAATTTGCCAATTGTCATTATATTTTTCAGAAAACATGCCGTTATCTCAGGAACTATGGTAGCTAGAAAAACGCATGGAAAGCCAATCGATAGCTTTTGAACTCTTCTTTTGATAAGGTCATTATCAAAATTGACCTCAGGTCAACGATTAAGCCTCCAGAGGGCAAAAACTCCAAAAATAGCTGTTTTTACGAAAAGTGTTTTTCGACAATAACTTTCGACTACAAAAAGCCACGGCATTTCTATTGCCAGAATCGTGTTCCTCTTGCCGAGACGCGTCGAATGAACTAAAATTTGACTTTAAAATGTCAACTTGAAAATTTGACCTCAGGTCAAGGTCATGCCCTGACCGGAAAAGGTCATGTTGCATATCAGTCGATGCGTCTCAACAAGACAAACACAATGAGACCATCCCCAGCGTTCTATCTCTTTCCAATCGCGAGTTATTGGCAAAAATCTGTTTGTAGCCTCAAATGACCTCGGATGACCTCTCTAGAGGCTATCAGCAAAAATGACACCTTGGTCATCACGGGTGGTCCAAATCATTGTGTTTCTGAAATATTTGGACTGTTCCTATGCGTACACAAGGATCTAGAGGCATTTTCATTTTTCTCCATTGACTTGTAATGGAAAGGTCAAGCCACTGACCTGACCTTAGGTCACGGATATAAAAAATCCGAGATATACAAATTGTAGGCGCCCATAACAGTATGCAATCCACCAAGTTTGAAACCTTTCTGACAAACACTGCAGGTTGGCCATGATTGCAAACTTTTTTAGGCTTGGTCAGTTAACTTGACCTGGTGACCTGACCTGACATGACCTGGGGTCAAAAATTTCACACATTGTCCAAAATTGATGTACCAAAAGCTACCCCAAGCGGCGCGGAGATACGCGCCGCGGTTTTTTATTCACACGCAAAAAACGCGACAGGGTGGTATCATATGCCCCCCCCCCCCCCCCACTGGGGCGAAGGTTAATGCAGGCATGCAAGTGTTGTGGTATGCTTCTCGATAAATAATCATTGCTCGTAATAAATCAGGTGCTACACACGATTCCAGGCACGCTGATCGAAGCCAAGTAACTCGAGACAGAAAAAGGAAACAAATTGTTAGCTTTACACTGCTAGTTAAGTAGGTGCATGCACGATAAATATCAAAGCATGAGATTTAAGGCAGCAAAAGAATACAGGCAATATCGGCATGTATCCAGAAATTATGCCATGTGTATTGTGTATTGTGTAATATTAGCCGTTTTCATGACGACCATCTGGCACACATTTGGTGCAGATTAGGTGCAGATTTGGTCAAATTAGGTTCAGTGTGTCTCTTAGTAGCTATCAGCTAGGGCTGCACTAATTGCTTATATGCCGGCTTTGTCATATTATCAGAGAGCATCATCGATCAAAACACTGAAATAAATTCACAAAATGAAGAAGTTTGTTGTCAAAGAGATTAGGTGCAGATTTGGTCAAATTAGGTGCATTCGCCGGATAGCCCGTCGTGAAAACGGCTATTGCCGCCCTTAAAATCACATTGTACGCAACTTTCTGTCTCCGTTCCTTTCTGTCTTCTGCTCCTAAACTAATCGTAAGTTTAGGAACTTCAAGTCTCAATGAACGACAGTGGAACAGCGGTGCGCACTGCGCGTGGACAACACACTTTTACTTTATCATCGGCGTTATAAAGGCTAGCTTAAAAGGCCCCTTGATACGATTTTTTGCATTTATAACTGTATGACAAATGATTAGACGAAACGTTGCGACTATATGGCGTGGACAGGACCTTTTGGAATTATTTCCATACACCGATAAGTCAGGTTATTTAATCGTGGGTAGGTAACCGCGTTCTGCACGGGCACAAGCCGGTGGCTGCAGCGGCCCTTATCTGGGGAGGTAACGTTTAGGGCGTGGCGACCCTCGGTCTGCTGAGTTCCAGATAACCATTCCACCGCAAGGACAACTCGACTGCATAGGCCGCGGGACGGGGAGGGCACCGGGGCACAGTGCCCCCTTTGATTTTGGCATTTTAACATTAGCCCTATGGGCGTTGCATGGAAAGAATGGGACCAAAAGTCGGCAGTGCCTCCCCCCCCCCTTAATTGAAGGTGCTCCACCGCTACTGCTCGACTGTACTGCACGATGTGTTCCTCGGTTTTATTGTGCTAGGTATGCTTATAATTCATAAAAGTTTATTCAACGTTTCCCTCTAAAATCATTTTTAACGGCGTGCACTGTGTTGAATCACGGATTACAACTTCCTCCTATCCCGAGTAAATGTGAATAAAAAAAACATCTGCATGTCTCATTAAAAGCCGGTAACGATACTAAAAGTAAAAATATGCGGTTCACATACATCATTACTTTCAAGTATCAAACGAGAGTATTGCAATGTATAATGTACCGGGTGGCCCAGAAAAAACGTTCCCAACTTTAAATCATTATTCCTCAGAAAGTGATAAAGATACAACATTGAAACTTCGCATAGTCAATGCGGCACACATTTTCAGTAAATGGTGTGATTTTCATGGTGTTCGGTAAATTACTGTTTAAACAGTTCGTGTTTCAAGCATGCCATGTAAAAATTACTTTTTTGCTCCGATGTTTACTCAAAAATGTGAGTGAACGGGTCACTTTCACCCCACGGCACCGCGGCCTAGAGCCATGACTTCTACTGGCAGCTAGTCTCATTGATGGTTCGGGTCTCAGGATGACACATTCCCTCAGGCAACCACGATGGCTCTGTGCCAGCGGCATCGGAAGAAGTTTCCAGTTTTCTAACCATCTTGTGGCTCAAATGCTTTCCTGGCTGACATTCCTGGGAAAAGGTAACTTTTCAACCAAGTTTTTTTTTTGTCATCTGCTGGCAATGTTGTTTTTCATAAGCTATTCTGTGGTCTTCTGGCACGGGAACCAGTCTGCTTTAGTTTATTTTCCTTATCCGGTCGATTTACTGTTTGATCTACTGAACTGAAAGGAGGGTAATCAGCAGTAATCCATGCACCGTGCCACTCCTGCTCGAAACATGATTTGGTGTTGAAACGAATGGCATCCATGAGCACCATTTCGGCTCAGTATTTGAATACTTGGCACATAAGTGAGACAAAAATAATTAAAATAAGAACATACGTGTTGGTGTCATTCACGTGCTCTATTTTTTATTCTTTTTATAACATGGGACGTCTAACCCAATCATCACTATCGTTTGACATCGGCAAAAAAAGCAAAAACGTCTTGCTTAATTCAACTCAAGATTGCCAGCTTGTAAATGATGGTATAGTGTTGTAATTTGGCATACAAATGCGCAAAGAAATGACGCAAACTTGATGAAAATTTTGGCTCGTTATTTGCACTCAAATTTGATATATAGACCTCCAAAGTTCGGAACGTTTTTTCTGGGCCACCCGGTATAGTGCCCAATTGCTTCATGCGTCCTTGAGGTTCATACATACCTTTCCCACAATGTGTCAAAGTCCAATCACGACTGTCGATACTGTAGAAAGCTCACTGGCGTTTCCTCCTCCTGTGCATGCGGCCGGGCTCTCTCGTTGGGTGCACGGCCCAATAACTGACTGTTAAGGAGTTCTGTCCGTGGTTGCGGCTGCTGCGGAAGGGCCGGCGCTCAGCTGTAGTTTCCGCTCCGCACCGTTCGTTCGTGTCGTGACCGGGCGGTGCCGAATGCAGTGTGGGAATCACCGGGTCTCCCCGGCAGCGGAGCCACGGGAAACTGAGCAGTGCGCACGAGGGTCCACCAGTGCGCGTGCAATGCTCAATAGTCAGAATTAGGGCCTTGAGTCAGAAGAACAATTACCGTTTCAGCCACTGAAGCTTCTTAATGCATTTTCCAATTCAAACCGATTAATTTCATACACCTAGTCCTAATCCGGCACAAAACAGCGAATAAACATCGTTACTTTCTTATAAAGGGATTTCCATTTTCTCATTCTGCATGCGTATTGACCCTGCATCGTATTGGAAAACTTGCACTTTTACAAAAATGACCCGTAACGGTCCTGTCTGGTATAAAGTGACATGATACTAGATACATAAGTAAAGCATAAGCCCTATATAAGATAAGTTATTTAGAGTAGAATCATGGGTCGTTCAAAACGTCAAAATCACCTTTGCAATTTGCATCTCCTAAATGCTTATGCTATTGCAACGTATAACACCCGCATATCAACAATGCACTACTGAAACCCGGGTGACGAATGGTTAAAACTCTGACGAATGGTTATCTGTAAGAATCTTGGGTTAAAAACAATCTTACATTGGCTTAACTTTAAAAAGCAAAAGTCATGCCAGCCGAAAAAGTGCAGGCATACCTATCAATTTTGTCGTGAATTATAATGAACTTAATACGCTTATTGCAAATGACGCACTGTACCTCCTCACTATGCAAGCTGCGGTGTTTTTCATACATTTTCCATTGCGTGCTGTGAGGAGTGAAACTCACTAAGGATGATTTAGAAGCGATAGATCACGCACAGTGTTACCTATCATGGGCCAGATCTGGAGCCCGACCGAAATCCCACCGGACTGACGAGATCTGCTGGTAAGGCAGGCCTCACACGCAGTGACAGGTCACTGCCCAGCACGGGTCTCTCTCATACCCAGTCCATCGTGCCACTGACCGGGAGTCATCGTCCGGTGCGAGGGTCCCCCACCTGCAGCGCGCCGTCCATCGGAGGCTCACTCTGGCCATGGCGCACCTGCCGAGCGGTGGACTGCTCCTTCTGGTGGCTGTGGTCGCCTTACTGACCGGCGCCGCGCTCGGTGTCACCGAAGACCCCTGTCCAGAGACCACCGGCCTGCGCCAGTCACCCGTCGACCTGAACCTGTGCGCCGACACGCGTCAGCCGGCCCAGGAGCCGCTCAAGGTGTCCAACTTTGACCAGACGCCGGCGACGATGACGCTGACCAACACTGGTAAACAAGTGTTTGCTGACATCACGTGGGCGGTGGGCAGCCGGCAGCTGCCGCAGATCAGCGGCGGCCAGCTCCCGGGCGTGTTCGTGCCTCTCGGCTTCATCCTGCACTGGGGCGCCCACCTCACCTCGGGGTCTGAGCACAGCGTCAACGGCCGCTTCTTCCCAGCCGAGCTGTACCTGCTCTGCCGCAACATCCTCTACACCAGCAACGAAGAGGCTCACCAGAACATCGACGGTCTCGCCGGCATTACTGTCTTCTTCGAGCACCGCGACCTCAAGATCTTCCGACGGCGCGGCCTCGCCATGCTGGCTCCCGAGCTGGCGAGCATCCGAAACGCATCTTCCAGCGTGCGGGTGGCTGCGCCGCCGAGTCTCCGCAGTCTGCTACCCTGGAGCCTGCAGCGCTTCGTGACCTACCGCGGCTCGGCCACGGCGCTGCCGCCGTGCCCCGAGTCGGTGACCTGGGTGTCGCTGCTGACCCCGGTGCCGGTACTGGCCATCGAGCTGCAGCAGCTGCGCCAGCTGGAGGACGCCGAGGGAAGGCCTCTGGAGAGCAGCGTGCGCCGGCCGCAGTTCCCCCTGAACGGGCGCACCCTCTACACCAAGGGAGTGACGCCCATCTGCGTTTGAGCGTGACGCACATCCATACTCTGTGTCAGAGCGTGGCGCCAATATGTGTGTGAACGTGATAAGATAATAACACCGGAAAATAAATGTACAATTCTAAGATCCGAATTAGATTTAGGTACGAATAGATGTGATGGCTGAACAATTAGCCATCGATGAATACCTAATGCCACACAGGTCTCGGATGGCGGGAAGTTAAAGTTTTGGACCTGGGAGACTAAGGCAGTGCCAGTTAGGTAATGCCTACTCTCCCGGCCCAGACCCGCTGCATCCGAAAAACACTAAACACTTCCTATCGAGTCGAGTCCCACCAAACGATCGTCCCCCGGCTCGCTCACAAGCTGCAGAAAGGCGAGCCACTCCATTTTAGTCGCTTCCTTGTTCGGTATAGGCTCCTATAAATTTTGACCCCGACTGTACTTCCTTCTCCTTGAGGGAAGAATGGCCAGTGGCGGCCCCGTGGCCCGTTGTCTTGTAAGGTTGCTACGTGAGACACATTAGCAAAGCTCACAAATCCTCGCAATTCGTATAGGCCAAAGAGAAAATGAGTACCTTTATTGCAGGCTGCAGCCACTGAACTCTATGCACTTATGCAGCTCTTGTCTTCACTGTAGGTATATGTCTTGGCATTTGCATCTCTATGTTTGCATCTCTTCTCTGTGCTACCATATGCCAAGCATAAAGGAAACATGATGAAAATACTTTCCGTGATCAAATCAGCGATTTCCGATTCTGGCGTCAGAGGTGTTGATAACTGCATGATCGCATACCGTTGTGCAATTCGCAACATAAAACTTTGATGCTAGAGCTCGGAAAATTATCAACTTGGTACTCACTCTGCGAAGTGTCAGCCATACGAGAAGAGGTCCTGAGACTCCACCGCCAACTAAAGTGAAATTAGTAGCTCTAGTCTGCTGCTTATTTGGCGCAGGTAAGACGTGACAATCACCGGTGCTAACTAGCAGTGCATATGCACATGTTCTTTTTGAAGATAGGTGGGCTAAGTCAGGCACGCGAGTTTTTCATTGAAACTTTAAACGGTTGATGTATGTGTGGTTGATTTTATTTCACATGTTTGAGTGTTTTTGACCGGTAGCTAGCACTCATATGTCAATCAAATTAGTGATAGCATTGATAGGCAATATCCCAGGATGAGTAGGCCAGGACTGCACCATATGTTTTTGATTCACTTGTCACATATTGATATAATTATTGATCAATGTTCAGATTTAGTCTGGTTCACTTTTCAGACAAATTTGGCAAATTTTTACACTATTTGATATCCTGAATTCAGATATGATGCTTACATGTGTCACAAATACCAACACAAGAAAAAACTAATAAAACGACCTAACCTTAACTACTTACCTACAACCTAGGTACCAACCTACAATCTACAACCTAAAACCTGCAAACCTACAACCTAATGCATCCTACAACCTAAAAACCTACAACCTACAATTTCTGCTGTTGCATACCAACGCCTATTTGTATCAACGGAGACACAAGTGTAGATCAGACCATTTCTGAACAAATATCCAATTATGCATAAAATATTCTTTATTCATCATTATTTCGTTTTGCACCTTTGACATGGTGTTTGCAATTATTTGATAACAGCCATTGCCCATTGACTTCCTGCATTTTCACTACACATTTATATTTATAAGATGAAATTCTATGCGCATTTTTCTTGGATGCTTTTCACCTTATACAGAAAATGGGTGTATTTATGGCTTAAGCTACCACTCAATCTTACATTTACAGTTTTAGATCATGTCTAAATGAAAATTCAGATGTAGAAAGTCCATTTCGCAAAATCAGAATAACTTGTGCCACAGAAACGTCCCTAGGTAGTCTTTAATGCCTACCTTGTTGTTGTTTAAGCTGGGAACAGGTAGAAGGAAAAAGTAACTCAAATAAGAAACTGAAACCACAGCTGAGAGAAGTATCTTGTGCAGCATTTTTTTTTTTTGTATTTTGTCTTATTGAAAATGACCTATAAAAAATCACCTAGTACTGCAACATTGGCTTAGATTGGTCTTTGAAGGGAAAAGTAGTAAATTATTGTTCAGTAGTAGCCAATTGCTTGTGGGCAGTAAGCAGTCATACATTTTGCTGTGCAAAACAGCATGTTTTCATTGTCCCTATCTGCTCCAACAAGGCACTACCCACAGTCCATGCTTTCATGTTGACCAAATGTATACCAATGACAATAACTTGTTTTTTATATTTGGTTAGTGTAACTCATTATAGTTCCCAGTCATTTTCCACATTCAATTCAACAACACTTGATATGAAAGATACAGTTGTTTTGTTAATCATGAGTGAAAATTAACTTTAACATCATGAAGTGAGGAACACATCACTAGTTGTTGTCTATAACTTGTGCTGCTATCTACACACTTTTCAATCTTCTCATTGATCTTTGAAATTTTCAAAACTTTGAAATCTGATGATCACTGATTGATATGCATGCAAGGGTCATAGGGTGTCTGGGCTGGTTTCACATTGAATTGTGGTGATTTAATGGAATATTTTAGGTCTTACCCTTTACTGTTCACCAGGGCTGGGCTGGTGGCTGGCCTGTCACCATCGTTGCTGCCATATGTCCACTCTGGTGACCAGCCAATGCTGTGACACTGTCCGTCACAGCTGCTCCTCGGGCTCCGTTTCAGGTGTTGCCTGTCTCTGACATGGCCTCTCCATGTGTGCAGCTGAGTCGGCGACAGCCGCCATTCGGCGTGCTGCTGACCGCCCAGCATGTGGGCGCGCCCGTGCAGTGGGCGGACCAGACGGCTCTGCGGCTCTCGGCCGATCTCTGTCTGTCGTCGCCAGCCTCCGTGTGCCGCCAGCTGGCACGCCAGGCCGCCGACGCCGACCGGCTGTACGGCGTCTCGGCACTGGCGCGCACCACCGCCGACCACTGGCTGGGGTTCAGCGCGCGTGTCTCGGCAGCCGCCGGCCGGTCGCAGCTCGAGGCCTCGCTGGCTGAGTTCGATTCGGTGCTGTTGACGCTGTCGTTTCTGGTCGGCGAGTCGGCCAGTGTGGCTGACTATGCCGTGTGGGGCGCGCTGTACGGCAGCGGCCACTTCCAGGCGGCGCTGGTCGCTGGCACGGTGCCGAAAAATGTGCTACGCTGGTACCGGCTCATCGAAGAGCTGCCGGCGGTAAAGGCGGCTCTGGCCGCTCTGCCCGCCGAGCTGAAACCTCGAGCTGCCGCTGCACCCGCCGCCTCCGCCGCCGGCGCCACCAATGCGCGCAAGGAGGAGGGCAAGTTTGTCGACCTGCCGGGAGCTGAGATGGGCAAGGTAGTGGTGCGATTCCCGCCGGAAGCGAGCGGCTACCTGCACATTGGTCATGCCAAGGCGGCACTGCTTAATCAGTATTACCAGAAGGCGTTCAAAGGACAGCTCATCATGCGCTTCGACGACACCAATCCGCAGAAGGAGAAGGCCGACTTCGAGAAGGTGATCCTGGAGGACCTGAAGCTTCTGGACATCCACCCGGACCGCTTCACTCACTCGTCGGACCACTTCGACTTGATGCTGCAGATGTGTGAGCGGCTGCTGCGCGAGGGTCGCGCCTACGTGGACGACACCGAGCCGGAGCAAATGAAGGCCGAACGCGAACAGATGCAGGAGAGCGCTTGCCGTTCCAACTCGGTGGAGAAGAACCTGCAGATGTGGCAGGAGATGCTGGCCGGCTCCGAGGCCGGGCAGCGCTGCTGCGTGCGCGCCAAGATCGACATGAAGTCGCCCAACGGCTGCATGCGCGACCCGACCATCTACAGGTGTAAGCCAGAGCCGCACGTGCGCACCGGCACCAAGTACAAGACGTACCCGACGTACGACTTCTGCTGCCCGATCGTGGACAGCATAGAGGGCGTGACGCACGCGCTACGAACCACCGAGTACCACGACCGCGACGACCAGTACTTTTGGTTCATCGACGCGCTCGGCCTGCGCAAGCCGCACATCTACGAGTACAGCCGGCTGAACATGACCAACACGGTGCTGTCCAAGCGGCGGCTGACTTGGTTCGTGGATCAGGGCCTTGTGACCGGCTGGGACGACCCGCGTTTCCCCACCGTGCGAGGCATCCTGCGCCGTGGCATGACCGTCGAGGGACTGCGCCAGTTCATCGTGGCGCAGGGCTCGTCCCGTGCAGTGGTCTTCATGGAGTGGGACAAGATCTGGGCGTTCAACAAGAAGGTAATCGACCCGGTGGCACCGCGACTGACAGCCTTGCCGGCCGAGGGTGCCGTCACGGTTAACGTGAATGGCGCCGTCGTGGAGGCCACGCAGGCAGCACGTCACCCCAAGAACCCTGACGTCGGAACGAAGACGGTGTGGACCGGCCCGCAGCTGCTGATCGACGCTGCCGACGTGGACATGCTCGTGGAAGGTCAGAACGCCACCTTCATCAACTGGGGCAACCTGCGCATCGACAAGGTGAACCGCTCTGGCGGCACCGTCTCTGTGGAGGCCACCCCACAGCTGGACAACAAGGACTTCAAGAAGACGCCGAAGCTGACCTGGCTGGCCGCTACAGACAAGGCGCCACTCATCCCTGCCGTATGCGTGTACTACGAGCACATTATCTCCAAGCCGGTGTTGGGCAAGGACGAGGACTTCAAGCAGTACGTGGCGCAGGACACGCGCTCCGAGCTGGTGATGCTGGGAGACCCGGAGCTGGCCGGTGTGAAGCAGGGTGACATCATTCAGCTGCAGCGGCGCGGCTTCTTCATCTGTGACTCGCCCTACCGACCTGCCAGTGTGCACTCGGGTCGCGAAAGCCCCTGTGTGCTCATCTACATCCCTGACGGACACGACGCCAAACCCGCGACTGGAGGTAAGGCAGCTAAGACGACTGCCACCCCAGCTGCCGGCAAGGGTGCAGCAGCTCCCGCTAAGTCGTCTCCTTCTGCTGGCGGGGATGGCGCTGCCCTGAGTCAGAAGATCGCTGAACAAGGAGATAAGGTAAGGCAGCTGAAGTCTTCCAAGGCCGACAAGGCTACCATCGATGCTGCCGTGAAGGTATTGCTGTCTCTGAAGGCTGATTACAAGGCAGCCACCGGCCAGGACTGGAAGCCGGGCGCCGCTCCGGCTGCCAGCGGAAACAGTGCGGCTTCTGCAGCTGATCTCAACGCACAAATCACCGCGCAGGGAGACAAAGTGCGACAGCTGAAGTCTGCCAAGGCCGATAAGGCTGCAGTAGACGCCGAGGTGAACGCGCTGCTCGCCCTCAAAGCCGACTTTAAAAAGGCCACCGGTCAGGACTGGAAGCCGGGCATGACACTACCTGCTGCCGCTGCTGCTGCCCCTCCTTCTGGTGGAGGGGACGGGGCAGCCCTGAGTCAAAAAGTCGCCGAACAGGGGGACAAAGTCCGTCAGCTGAAGGCCGCCAAAGCTGACAAGGCCACCGTTGATGCTGCAGTCAAGGTTCTTCTATCTTTGAAAGCTGAGTACAAGGCAGCCACCGGCCAGGATTGGAAGCCAGGCGCCGCACCGGCTCCTGCCCCTGCCGCCACCCCCGCTGCTGCCAGTGGGGACGGTGCAGCCCTGAGTCAGAAGGTGGCCGAACAGGGGGACAAAGTCCGTCAGCTAAAGTCTTCCAAGGCCGACAAGGCTACCATCGATGCTGCAGTGAAGGTGCTGCTGGCTCTAAAGGCCGATTACAAGGCGGCTACCGGTCAGGACTGGAAACCAGGCGCGGCCCCCGCCCCCGCCGCCGCTGCCGCTCCCGCCGCTGCTAGTTCAGCCGACTCCAGTGCCGCCGGAGACCTGAACCAGCGCATCATCGACCAGGGCAACAAGGTTGGAACTCGACGAGCATGCCGCTTCGTTTTTGTTGCCTTTGTCAAGCATTGAACACCTTTTGTGTTGCGTCGCGTTTTTGCTTTTCAGAAGTAGAGGCTTGTTGGAAAGTTGGTGGGCGAAAGTTGGTAAAGTTGTAACGCTAAGCTTGTAATTGCGTCCGGCATGTGTTCCTGTTTCCTGTATCTCTGCTGATTGAGCTGCATGTTGTCTGCCGTCCTTGCTTTCTTGATAATATTCGAAGAGGTAAGTATAAGTGTGACTACCTGCACAGCCCTTCACCACTTAGGTTCCCATCATCACTGCACCTGTGTTGCTTTGGTATTATTCTAACGCATAAACTCATCATGCGCTTTAAGTTTTCCATCAGGCTTTGCAAATCTTCGTCTCTTTTCTCACCTCTGGATGCTTTTGCCGCATTTCCGCTTTAACAGGCTAACTGTTGGTAGATGTACTTGTGATGCGCATCACTCATATTCGAAATTCATCCCGGACTAACACAATGCAAAAGTTTATGCTTCATCAGTGGACTGTCTAATGTATGTACCTATTGATATCATTCAAAATAAGCTCAATTATCACTTTTGCCGGGCTGGAGCTCACGCTAAGCAAAGCTCAAAGGTGCGTCCTAAGCTACCAATGCGACGGGGAGCTTTTGCTTTGTCCGTGGTCGTATGGGCTAGACATAAACTCCGAGACTACGTTAGTTTTGGAGACCGCTTGCTTTCCCCGCTAGCGTCATACAGCCATTATTCCAAAGTTTCAATCACGATGTTTCGTGCAGGATATCAGAAAGGTCATTTGCATGTCCAGAAACAGCACATACTCGTAAATCACGTCGATCACGTCGATTATCTCCTAGCAACGAATCCACTTGCTTGTTATCAAATGCATGCCTGTCATTTATTTGATCTGTAGAGTAGCTGTGGCATGCTTTCTAATCATGGTGTTTATTAGATTGGTGAATGCTGGTGTGTTGCTGTTGATTGTTTTGAGATATTGTTCTGGTTGAATCACGTAGTGGACATAGGATAATCATGATTCATCAGACAACCACCTATTTGAATGAGCGGGTGTTAAGAGTCACTGACTCACAATTGCTGTGTTTAGTGTTCACGACTCATTTAACAATACTTTTGACTTCAAGACGTGCTTGAACGAAATTGGCGACTGCAACACCGCAATGAGCCGACCCATAACTGAATGTTTGATTACAAAGCTGACGGTGGATCCGTGACATTGAATGACATAAAATAGCAAGGACGAATCCTGACACATGGTAGAATCATGCGATTTTGTGAGGTTTGATAGTTTGTCTGAAAAACGACCCGCCGTGTCGTCTTGTGTCGGCAGCTGCTTTGACGGTTTTCGGTGGTGGCTGTTGCAGGTCCGTGAGCTGAAAGCTGCCAAGGCCGATAAGGTCTCAGTAGACGCCGAGGTAAAGACGCTCCTCAACCTCAAAGCCGACTTCAAGAAGGCCACCGGTAAGGATTGGAAGCCAGGCATGACACTACCTGCCGCCGCTGCCGCCCCTGCCCCCGCTGCCGCTGGCGGAGATGGGACAGCCTTGAGTCAAAAAGTCGCCGAACAGGGGGACAAAGTCCGTCAGCTGAAGTCTTCCAAAGCCGACAAGGCTACCATCGATGCTGCCGTGAAGGTACTGCTGGCTCTAAAGGCCGACTACAAGGCAGCTACCGGTCAGGACTGGAAGCCGGGCGCCGCCCCCGCCCCCGCCGCCGCTCCCGCCGCAGGCGCCGCTAAAGGCGCGGACCTGCAGGCGCAGATTGACGCACAGGGCTCCAAGGTCCGGGACCTGAAGGCGCGCAAGGCCGACAAGGCTGAGGTGGATGCCGCCGTGGCCTCGCTACTCGACCTGAAGAAGGCCTTCAAAGAGCTGACCGGCCAGGAACCGGCGGCCAGCGGCGGCGGAGGACGCACGCCCAAGAAGCCCGCCGCTGACAAGAAGCCAGCTGAAAAGAAGCCTGCCGAGAAGAAGTCTGCTGAAAAGCCGGCTGCTGGCGATGACGGGGGTCCGAAGAAGCAGACGCGTCTCTGCATTGAGGCGAAGAAGGAGGAGGCGCTATCAGACTGGTACTCCCAGGTAGGGGGCTGCCTCTAAAGCTGCAGCTACTTATGAGTTACCTATCACCTACCTATCTTGGCTGATAGTTCATAGCACACAAATGCAATTTTTGTAATATTGTCTTCATTCATGAGCATGCAACTGAGCATATTTTGGGCAGATTTTCTGTGAACATGCAGTGTGTATCGCGACGGCTGATGTGGTTTTCGCCCGCCTCCCGCTCGCCAGGTGATCACCAAGTCGGAGATGATCGAGTATTACGACGTGAGTGGGTGCTATATCCTCCGTCCGTGGTCCTACTCCATCTGGGAGAACATCAAGGACTTCTTCGACGCCGAGATCAAGAAGCTGGGAGTGGAGAACTGCTACTTCCCCATCTTCGTCTCACACGCCGCCTTAGAGAAGGAGAAGACGCACATCGCCGACTTCGCTCCCGAGGTCAGTGACGTCGGGGGTTCGTGAAGTGGGGGGGGGGGGGGTCTAAGATGTAAGTTTGGGAGTCTGACCTTCATTTGTGACCCCACTGTCTTCCAGGCTGCATGCGGCGGCCGATTACCGCAGCCTTGAACGTGTCATCGTTCTGCGCTGTGAACACTGGCACTTCATGCCTCATGCTGCCTGCCGCCCCGTGCTTATCAGCTATAAATTGAACCCCAGAGACACGTACCCACGCAGATTTTGTTTTGTAATTGTTCAATAATATGATAACTTACATGTCCCTTACCGCTCTTTGAGCGGTATCCTTGCGGCCCTTGGCTCCATGCCCTGTGACGACGCCATCTGAACCGTGCTGTGACCGCTCTGTTACCGGTGCTGTGACCTTTGTTTGACCTGTGTTGTTCCGTTCGTTTGACCTGTCCTGTGACCTCTGACCGGTGCGGTGCTATCACCACTCTCTGACCTGTGCTGTGACCGCCTCTAACTTATGCTGTGTTTGTATATTATATGCTGTTATCTGCGTATGTGTATTCTCTGACTGGTGATGTGACCTTCCTTTGATCCGTCCCTTAACCACCCTCTGACGGTGACCTCTGCCGCCAGGTGGCCTGGGTGACCAAGTCTGGTGACTCGGAGCTGGCTGAGCCGATCGCCATTCGGCCCACCAGTGAGACGGTCATGTACCCGGCGTACGCGCGCTGGATCCAGTCGCACCGCGATCTGCCGCTCCGGCTGAACCAGTGGTGCAACGTGGTGGTGAGTGCGCACGCTCTCCTCCCTTCCCCTTTTTTGTGCCTGTCTCCACCTCTATTGCCCTCCCCCTCTTTAACTCCCTCCATCTCGCTCGCTCACTCAAACACTCTTACTCTCTTAATCTTTAGCTTCTCACTCACTCCTCTCTCCCCTTTCTTCCTTCTCTTTTCCCACCTATCCCTCTGTTTCTGTCTGTGACATTCAATCCATCCGCGACCTCTGACCTGACCTGTCCTTCCACAGCGCTGGGAGTTCAAGCACCCCCAGCCGTTCCTGCGCACCCGCGAGTTCCTGTGGCAGGAGGGTCACACGGTGTTCGCCAGCAAACCGGAGGCCGATGAAGAAGTGCTGGCCATCCTCGACCTGTATCGGCGTATCTACGAGGAGCTCCTGGCCATCCCGGTCATCCCCGGACGGAAAACCGAGAAAGAGAAATTCGCCGGTACGTGTGACGCATGTGACCACATATGAGTGTTGGTTCTCAGTTCCCACTATCCACGATATTGTTACCGCGAGAGTTCATGGCTATGTTTGTTGCAGTCGAGAATTAGTTCGTAATTATCCTAATGTAACTTGTATGTCGCCTCTGGTTGACCGAGCCCACGCGACTGCCTATGTAGTTTGCATATTTCTCGGGCCAGGTCTGCACCATCAGTCACTAACAACGTCACCGTTCATTACTGACGTCACCGGCTATCCATGATATCACCGTTAACCACTGACGTCATCACTCACCACTGTCGGCAGGCGGCGACTACACCACCACAGTAGAAGCATACGTGGGCGCCAGCGGCCGAGCCATCCAGGGCGCCACGTCTCACCACCTCGGGCAGAACTTCAGCAAGATGTTCGAAATTGTGTTCGAAGACCCTGAGACGCAGGAGAAGCAGTACGTCTGGCAGAACTCGTGGGGAGTCACCACACGCACCCTTGGTGTCATGGTGATGGTGCACGGCGATAACCAGGGCCTGGTGCTGCCGCCACGCGTCGCCGGCATACAGGTGAGGATGGCGGCGGTGATACCGCGTAGGACGGTGTCTAGGGAAAGGTAGTTACTTAGGGCACACTATTTTTTAACACCACAGGCGTTATGAGTCACGAGACTCATGCTACACCGTGTGGCCTATCGCTTTGTCCTGAATTCAGACAGCTTACAGCTAAGCTCAGATTCGGATAAATATGAACTGAACAACATAAAACATAATCAGAGTCACGAGTCCTGCCCATGTCTTACATTATAATACCAAACAAGCTTAACAATTTTTACTTTTGAAAAAAAAAATATGCTGGCTGGGTGTGCAATGTGCACACTCACAGCTGTGCCTGCAATGACGTTAGTTCCCCCACTCCGCCGCCAGGTGGTGATCGTGCCGTGCGGCATCACTGCCAGCATGAAGGACACCGACCGGGACGCATTGCTCGACTCGTGTCGGCGATACGAGTCCGAGCTGCGCGCCGCCGGCCTGCGCACGCGCGCCGATCTCCGGCTCAACGTGTCTCCCGGCTGGAAGTTTAACCACTGGGAGCTGCGCGGCGTGCCGCTGCGCCTGGAGCTGGGGCCGCGCGACCTGCGCCAGGACCAGTATGTGCTGGTGCGCCGCGACACCGGCGACAAGGCGACGTTCGCGCGCGCCGCCGCCGCCACCGACGTGCCTTGCCTCCTCGAGGAGATCCAGGCGAACATGTTCGCGCGCGCCAAGGCGCGTCAGGACGAGCACGTCGTAGTGTGTCACGACTTTGACGAGTTCTGTCGCCGCCTGGACAACAAGTGTCTGATTCAGGCGCCCTACTGCGGAGCTATTGCCTGCGAGGAACGCATCAAGAAGGAGTCGGCCAGGTGAGGAGTCCAGGGTGTCGCGGTCTTGGTTTCAGGACGTCTGTTGGTGTGGTATAGGTAGTGTAACGACTAAGAGGATAAGCATTAAGCAATGCCGTACAGGGAAATATTAAACAGGAGAGGGAAGATGATGAAAGAACTTGGGAACGATGCATGGTCGATCGAACGCTTTGTACTTGTCGCGTGACAGAGCATCGTTTCATTACATTTTTGGATCGGATATATAAGTGATAACCAACGTTAATTCGTTGTGCTAAAACAGTGTTCCTGCGTGCCATCTCGTGACTATTTCGTTCCCATCCGTCCCGACCCCGCTCCCCACCGGCGACTGACGCTCCCGTCTATATTGGCAGGGAGGAGGCGGCGGAGCCCGGCGCACCAGCCATGGGCGCCAAGGGTCTGTGCATTCCGTTCCAGCAGCCCGCTGAGCTGGCAGCCGACGCGCGCTGCATCTGTCCGAACTGCGACGAGAAGCCAAAGTTTTACACCCTGTTCGGCCGGAGTTACTGAGAGCCCGGCCGGCGGCGGGTCGGCTGTGTGACCTGGCGACGCTCGGTGGGGGTTTAGGTGACGGCCACCGGCGAACTGAATACAGCCTGACCCGCCTCTGGTGTGTCGTAATGGGGGAATGCTACAGCGTGTACGACCGTTCCCGTTAGAGAGGAACGGACGATCTGACGGCCTCTTCTCTACCCGTCGGGTGACTGGGAGCGGTACGCTGCTACCTGGGAATGGCTTCATATCGCCCCTCTGCTAAGATTGGCGGCAGCGCAGCTATACTTGAGTCAGATTGCCCTGGCGATTGAGGTGTCGTTAGCTTTCGCAGCTTCTGGTAAATTTACAATCGGTCCTAGAACCACATCTCCCAAGTAACGAAGTCGGCTAGTGCGTGAATATTAGATAAGTCACCTCTGCCCCTCAAACCTCCCCGCTGAACCCACCCATCCTCTACCTACATGCGCGATCGATCCCTCCGTGATGAGACGAAGCCCCCAGTCCCGAATACACCTCCCAAATTCACGGCGGTGCCGCCGAGTGCGCGAGGTCCAGCACTCGGCAGATGTCGTCCCTGCTTTGGGTGATACGAAAGCTGCATATAACGAGTAACGACTGGGGCTACCCCTGGTTACTGGCCGGTGATGTCCTTAGTAGAGTCCCTCGCTCGTTGATACATATATTGTATAATGCAGTATGCACATTGCAGCTGGTTTGAATACCAACCAAAAAGCAGGTCTACAGCACACCATCTCGATGCTCACATCGGTCGGTCCATCAGTAACCCAACGCTCACGAGTCAGTCCATCGGTCCCGTTAGCCTCTATTAGCACCAGCCTGAAAGGTCAACGCTCTGGGAACACCGGTATATATGTAACAGACCGCTGACGGAATGATGGGACCGATAACTTCCCACGCCTCTCTCGTCGGATCGGGATCAGCCGGGCGACACGTAAAACATTGACCAGATAAAACACATTCACCGTCGCCACCCGTCCGGCTTGGGGTTGCATCACGTCGTCCCTAGCTGTGACCAGTGCCATTTGCTGGGCGGCGACGGAGTTTGCAGCCGACTCGTCGGCCGCAGCGGCGCTAGTGTCAGACAGAGAGGCGCCGTCACGAGGAAGCGGTGGGACGCGGCTTCAGCACCAGTTTGCCGGTGTCATCACACCACATGTTGAAGTCAGCCAGCACCTGGCGGGTTCGGCAGCAGATGATGCTTGGAGCTACCACTCGCTTGTGGATACCCATTAAGAACAGAATTGCTAGCGTCAGTGTCGATATGGCAAAGAACAGGTGGTTGAAGAGTGACTGGACGAAAGCCACCTCCGATGTGCTTGGATCCGTGAGCCACTGGTATGCACCGATGGCCGTGCACGCTGAAACGGTCACCAGGACAACTCGCCAGCGCAGGGCGGATGGCTGCAGGCATGTGATGACCTCGGTCAGACGACGCTCAAACGCCTTCAGGTCTTCGCAGGCCGTCTGTTCGATGGACATTTCTGCTGGCAGCCACCACAGGAATTCTGGCTGGGCAAAGAAACTGAGAAGTTCTCACTGATTGCCAAAATAAACTAAGCAATGATCACAACCACCGTCTACCTGCAAGTCCAAAAAATAACACACTATCTCAATATCTCAGTTGGGGAAACTATGGTAAAATCTGCTATTTTTAGCAGTCTGCTATTTTTAGCAGAAATCTGCTAAAAATGGGTACGCATGTGACGTCATCGTACCCAAATATAGCAGATTTGGGTACGGCCCCATACAAAAGCAGATCTGCACCCTAATTGAAGCAAATGCGCATCAAATGCCTGGCAGATTCATGATGAGAATAGTGCTGAGAGTGTTCTCTGCTATTTTTGTTCAGATCCGACTATTTTCAAATTCATTATTTAAAAATAGTCGGATCTGAACAAAAATATCAGAGGACATTCTCAGCACTATTCTAATCATGAATCTGCCAGGCATTTGATGCGCATTTGCTTCAATTAAGGTGCAGATCTGCTTTTGTCGGGGGCCGTACCCAAATCTGCTATATTTGGGTACAATGACGTCACATGCGTACCCATTTTTAGCAGATTTCTGCTAAAAATAGCAGACTGCTAAAAATAGCAGATTTTACCATAGTTTACCCGACTGATCTGGTAGAATAGACCCTAGAGAGTCTAAGGTATGTACGTGTCCACCACAGCGCATGTGTCCACTTGCACCTGATATTGATGTAGGGCCTTGGCACCTGATAACCGGGATTATTATAAAAATTCTAGCCCTTCACTATGATACCTATTCTAAATACGCAGAGCCTCGCAAAAATTATTCAGAGGAGTATTCAGAGAAATAGTATGCAGTGCTCTAGCGAGGAACATCTTGATATATGTAGTTAGGATTTTAAATGACCTTTTCCTCGATAATTAATTGGAAATTCAATAAAAAGTAAATATTATATTGATTGACAAATTTTCGAACAACAGTTCATTCTCAAGCCACATGAAACCAATTGTCAATTGTTGTCAATTGACAATTGTTGTCAATTGTTTCATGTGGCTTGAGAATGAACTGTTGTTCGAAAATTTGCCAAACAATATAATATTTACTTTTTATTGAATTTCCAATTAATTATCGAGGAAAAGGTCATTTAAAATCCTAACTACGAGTATTCAGAGATCTCAGAGGTAAGGAATCGCGCCAAATACGTAACAAAATAAGCCAGGGTTTATAAAAAAATCAGAATCTTAAAATGACATCATAAAAAATTTATATAATTGGTAAGTTGACTTTAATCCCATCGTCGTATAAAAACGCTCCTTACAAATGAAATTGCAAAAATGTATCTGTTAGTTCACATTATTATTCAAATTGCAAATGAGCACTTTACTGCAATAAATAAATTTACCAGCGCACATGAATTTCTTGTTGGATTGGCTGAAAACCGAGACGTCATAAAACCACAACAAACATCCAAGTTTGAGTCGACACTGGTCACTCAGGGGTGGTGTTTGCTAAAAACTTGAGCGTCCTCTCATCGCATAAATGCTATCAGCTGTTGGGCGAGTTTCATTTTAAAAATCGCCTTTTCAATGCGCTTAAAAAGTCTTTTTGCTTATTTCGTTTGCAAGTATTTGTCAAACACTGTTTCTCTGAAAAACAATCAAATGTTTCTTTTTAAGCATAAGTATACTGGGAAATACAATACATTTTGCATGCCTATCTTACAGGTGACTTCCAGAAGCTTCCACTTGCTCGTTTCCATCAGCTGTATTTTTTAGGTGAGGTTGTGCTTGGGATTGCGCGACTGTGAAACAAATGCGGTGCTGCGCGGGGCACGTGCCGGTTCTTTTAGGACAAGGTGTGGGGTGTCGGCTGTGATTGCATGAAGTAAGCGTTTTTTATTTTGAGTAACCTTCTATGAATGTTCATATGCATTGCTTTTACAAAGTGTGGTTTTGTGATTTGTATGCTGTTTTTCGAAGTCTGACTGCGTGGCTGCGAAACGTCAAATGAATACGATACTGATAATGTTACAAGTGACTGCTGGGGTCAGAGTGGGGCTAGACTGGTTGCAGCTCTACCATCAGAAATATTGCCAGTTGCGGGTATTATTGCTGGTCACTTCTTAAGGCCTGGCTACACTATGCGTTTTCTGTGTGCGTTTTTTGCGGACTGCGTGTTTTGCATAGGTAATAGGTATCGTTCTAGAAAAAGAAACGATAGGTCTAACGTTTTTGTGATTTTTTTATATTAAATTTTAGTTAATATAAGAGTTATATGAACTTTTGTATATAACCAATGCACAAATATTGTAATAATTTATTATTTATAACTTCTAGAACTACATTGCTAAAAAACACCTGTAAAATCGCACGCAGAACATGCATAGCGTAGCCTGGCCTTGAGCTTCCTATGAGATTTAAGGTGCAGCCATAAGAAATTGCTGCTAGTGTGGGAGGGCTTGGCTAATATCACTTTTCACTACAGCAGTCATTTCAATTTGTTCATGTGGCTTGCAAAATTAGTAAATGATAGCAGCTCAGCCTGGCATTTTTTTTTCTGTTTGTGAAACTAGCCTCAGGGGATTTAATTGATGACCTATTATATTAGTTGAATTAAGTCATTACGGAGCGAGCGAAGCGAGCGTAGTCTTTCCTTAGATTAACGGAAATTTCTGAGTATGAGCGGCCGGCCGGCCGGCCGTGGTCACGCTTTTGCGAGGCTTATATCTCAGCAACCACTTGACCGATTTACATGCGGTAAATTTTGTAGGGTAGCTTCATTCCTTCTACCAAGTATTGGACTATTCCCGATGCATGTGGGTGACCCCTTATGCACGTGCCACGTGCAAAACGAAGAGGTGTCAGTTTGGTAATTGTTGCAATATCTCGGTAACTACTTGGCCGATTGCGCTGAAAGTTGGCATGTAGGCAGGTACCCACTAAGCACTGCATATCCATGTGCCAGAGTTGGGGTGCTGCTGCACGTGCGCACGTGCAGGGGTCGTTTCCAGATCTCGAGAACGGCTCGACCGATTGCGCTCAAATTTGGTACACAGTTAGGGACCGGTTAGTAGGGTGCCGTGCACAAGTCAGTTGGGACCCATTTTGCACGTGCGCACGTGCAGGGTGCCGCTTCCAGATCTCGAGAACGGCTGGGCCGATTGTGCCCAAATTTGGCACATCGCTAGAGACCGGTTAGTAGGGTGCCGTTCACAAGTCAGTTGGAGGTACCCCCTCGCAATTTCGCACGTGCAAGGCCCACCCTCTCGCTCGCTCCGTTAGTCGCCCCAAAAGGCGTTATGCTGGTTTATTAGGTTAATCTGGGACTGGATCAAAATAATTGCCTAGAGGCTAGATCGATAGAGACATTGGTGCATTTCCAATCAATGATGCAAAGAATTGTTGGCTTAGATCATAGAATAACTAATTATTTTTTTGCAACTGTAGCTCTGCCTTATGCCTATATTTCATCACGTAGGTACCCTCAAGTTGCTGCTTCATCCCTGAGCATTTGAATGAATAGCTGTTTAGGTACCCACTTATTATTTTGAAAACAGGACTGTTATTCTTGGCAAATTTGATTAGATCTGGCTTGTCTGAGCTCAATAGCTCTGGGTCTTCTGTGTTTCTGTCCATATGGCATTAGGTGCTGTGTAAATTTGCATGATTTTGCATGGATTGTCACAGATTTCTGGCCTGGTTGGATGCATGCTGGCTGCTGGTGCATATTTTTTCTTGTGTTACTTGTCATGCTATACTTGGTGAAGATACCCAGAATAAGTTGGCATTGATTTGGAGGAAAATACCAAAGGAAAGCATAACACAAATGAACTTAATTCCCTGCCTCAATGTGTAACAATCAAATCACCCACTAGACTTTTTGGTTAGAGTTTCAGCTACCTATGTCAATCAAGCATTATTTGATTATCTGGCTGTGTAGAGATACCTGGCCTTACAAGGTTGAATGTCTTCAGTATGAGCATGTTCAAAGGTTTATGTGTAATGTGTGATGTGCAATGGATATGTGCAAATAATCCACCAGGCACCAAGAGTTGATGTATCACTAATTCTCTGCTACTTGTTACTAGTCACTGCTAATTACTAGCTGGCTCATTCCAGCCATATTTGGCTACAACTGCTTTATTTCACTGTAAGTTAGTAAGTATGTAATGCTTGAATGATGCAATAAAGAGTGAAACGTAAGCAGACATCACAATCAACATTGTGAGTCCACATACACACATCGAAACTGAGCTTGTCATTTAAACCGTTGTCACAAAGATGACTCAATCTCACTTTGTCATCTCGATACGTCGCGGGAATGGTGACCTGAGCAAACATTACGGCGCGTCGGTGACGAGGTTCGTTTCGCGGAGGTGCGCGGTCGCCTCGCTATCGGAATTCCCGGACTGGTGTGACGTGATCGCCGATAAGAGCGGCGCCGAACCGCCGTCTGGCGCCGCCGATGCGGCCAGTAGAGACCGAACGCGGCACTCGTCAGCACAACGTCAAGTGGTGCACGCTATGTCCGAGAAGAATGTCTCCCACGGTAGCCGTGCCGCCCGCATGGCTCCGGAGAGACCAGCGCAGACGCAGCTTTCATCCGTGCATTACAACGCACCGCCGCCGGTGCGACCTGTATCGCTGCGACGCTGCCTACACGACCAGCGGCGCGATCCCGTGTCCGGCCTGGCTCTGGGACCGGCGTCTGCGCAGCTCTGCTTCCTTCTGCCGATCTACGACCTGGAGCTGAACGGGCCGCGCAACTCGAGTGATCTGCAAAAAGGGCTGGACGCACGACTCCCGCCGGGGGGCAAGTACGCCTGCCACGTGACAGGATCGTCCATCGAGCGACTCTCCGTGCCCCCGTACACGGAGCGGGATGGCGGCTCGCAGCCGGCCCAGTACCGCGTGGCAGACGTGGATGTCATGTTAGAAATACGCCCGCTGTCGGTGGCGCTGCGCCCAGGCGACGGCGCGGCAATCTACATGGACGCGTCGCGCTCCAGCCACCGCGGCTACACCCGTGTTGTGGCGGAGCCGGCGGCGGCGCAGGCCAACCCCATCTTTTGCCGCCCAGTGGGTGACGACGGCGGACCAGAGATATATCTATCAATCGATACAGTAAACGATGCACTGACTGCGCTCACAACGCTCTTTATCCCGACAGCAACTGTCCATCGGCAAGGTCCTTCGGTGAACGTGCAACAACCGGGTGATATCCACCACCATGGACCGCTTGCCTACATCAATGACATGGACATTGTGCCGGCGCTGCCGTTGACAGAGCGCCCGCCTGAGTTTACCGACTGGCTGAAGCGCGTGCGCGGCCGACAGTGGCCGCCGGAGGAGCTGCAGCAGGAGATGGAGCGCGACGCGCGGTGTTTCCTGGTGGGTGCCGGTCACGCCAGCAGCTCCCGGCGCGATCTTGAATGGCGTCTGTCTTTTTCTGAGCCCGAGCGGCGGCTGGCGCTCAGCCTGACCCCGCAGCAGCGCAAGGTGTACGTGCTCATCAAGATGATGCAAAAGTGCTACCTGCAGGAGCCCAAAGTGCTGGTCACGTATCACATCAAGACACTCATGTTTTGGGAGCTGGAGGAGTGCAGCAACACCGACTGGGTTGAGGAGGAGCTTTTCGAGCACGTCCTGGCCATGCTCGATCGCATCGAGGCTTGCTTGGACCAACAGTACATCCCCAGTTACTTCATGCCGGACAACAACCTCATCAGCCACGCGGACGCCGGTGACGTGGCGACCGTGCTGGCCACTGTGCGGCAGATTCGTCGCCAGCCACTGCAGCATCTCTACGGCATCGACGACCGGTTCCGGTTCGACTTTTCATCGCCACGGCCGCTCTCCGAGCTGCACGAGCCGCTGCGTCGCCTCCTGCTCGACGGTGGCGGTGGTGGCGAGGAGGCCGCTGAAGCGCTCACCGTTTCGCTGATCGAACAGGCACAGGCAGACGTTCGACGTGGCCTGGGCGAGCAGCGCCGCTGCGCGAGGCTGCTCCAATCGGCGTGGGAAGCGCTGGCGGCGGCGGCACCGGAGGGTGCGCCCCACCCTGTGCATGACGACTGGCTGATGTTCGCCGCTGCTGCTGCCTTCGAGGCCATGGGCGCTGATGAGAGTGTGTGGGCGCTGCAGGCCCTGGAGGCTGTCTTCAGTGATCGG